TGAGCAACTGAAGGGGCTATGGAGGAATGAACACTTGTGATCGGACCTTCGACCCAGTGGTGATGGGGCTTACACGGGCACCCTGCCTTCTGCCCTCAATCCTGAAGACTAAATCAACTCTTCAGTTGATCTTCGACCGGATCAATGTCAACGAACATTTGGCTGTTTATTTTGGCATTAAAACAAGTACCCATTATCAGACTCGTTTAGTCAAACAGCCTGAACTTGTTGATTAATACAATCATTCCTAAGGCTGACTCTTTAAGATATATTCAAGTTACTTTTTTAAATAACAATTATTGGACCAAGTATGCTGAAAATATTGAAATTAGGACACGTAGGCTATCTTTCTACGCTTTAAGACTTGAAAAGTTTACCGCGTTCTGAAATGTAATTGTCTTATTTGCCACAGCCTGCAGTCTTCCGCACTAGTTGTACTGTTCCCTGGTCTAGGGGAGAAGGACTTTACTTTCCAATCTCTTAAACTTCTTTCCCGTGGTTGATTTCAAGGAGTGCAAGCATTTTGATGCGTTTGATTCAATAATCGTCCATTTACTATCGAACGAAAAATATATCCATCTCGGTACATGTATGTCTAGTCGGTGTCCTCGTTTAAAGTTGAGACTTCTCCCTACAGGTACCATCTAATTGATTTTCATTCATTATTCGTTTCATAAACACGTTTCATTCACTCAAAATTGTCCCGATTGTTGAAAATTAAACCTATCAGGTGCGTAAAACTTTACTTGACTTAACATACTGTACAGTACATAGAAAACAGAAATGAAAATACCCGGTTCAGGTAGGGCAGAGTCAGAATAAATATTTTTCGACTGGGATAAAGGTAGTTTTAATTTCAACCATGGTTAGCGTCATAACACTTGCGAGGTTTTATGAGATGCCATTAGTTCTGCAGTATGGATTTCTTTTTTGTCACGCAATTAAAACCGATTACTGTTTTCTAAACTTGACACCAGACGATCAAGATTAGCTAAAAATTTCTCCAAATTTGGAACAGTATGCACACACAGAGACAGAAAATTTCTTTTACAATTATCTTTTAATATCACAATGATTACTCACTTGTCCAGAATTCCCCGACTGGCAAAAGTGACAGACACAATAGGTCCGGCGTTCAAATTATGATACCAGTAGAGTAGCATAAAATTTGTGTCGAAAAATTTCACCATACCGGTTGTATCGCCAGTGACAATTGCGTATTGACTTCCGCGACTTTTCGGTTGGCAACATTCATTCCGTTGTGATAGGTGTTCGTCAAACAGCGGCGAACAGCGGGATTGTGAAGCGGTCAGCGGCATCGCACGATAGAATGGAAACGGATAAGATTAGGCCTGCTAAAACAGCATATGCTCCAACCGCACAGCAACAAGTACTATCATATAGTCTCTAAAGAATTGGTCACTAATTTTTACTTCTCGCCATTTTTCGGACAAGAGAGGGAACTTTCGCACCACACCACAATGTAACTGAATCTCATATGTCGTCTGTTGTAAGGAAGAACAAACCTTGTATGGTGAATGCTTTAAAAACATGCTCAAATATGAATACGAGAAAAAAGGAGTCGATAACGCAAAAACATAGTGTTGAACAATTCTTTTAGTCATTTGTGAGTGATTCCCGTCCAATAAAAACAACGGTCTTCTCAGAAATTTGGCATCTTGGACGTACAACTCAAGCGGGCACTTTGGACTTTGGATCCCGGCCCCCAATGGATTGCAGTTTTCACACACCGCTGGCTTGCAGATCAGACTAGGGCAGGTCAAAGCCACGGATCGTGAATTGCCCAAGGAAATTCATCTGCTTTGACCTGAGCAACTTAGCAGTATTTCACCTACCAGCAAATAATGCACCTTTTTTCTATGTTATAAATAATATTGTACATTGATTTGTTTGATACACACTGTGGATTCGGATGGGAGTAAAATATCTGTATTCTTTTATTAAAGTTGCTGCTGGTTAGCATTTCTGCATGCTGAACCGCAAGGTTCTCGGTAACTAACGATGCTACTGATTGTGCTTTCAGAGGAAAGCTTTACTCGATAATCTGCGCTTCTATCCATCGTACCGCAGAAAAGTCCCACCACGTTCACGGTGGGAAACTAGAATTACGAAAAGCGGAGCTCTTTTGTGCTCTTCCTGGATTATTTTCTCATTGAAATCAAGGAGATACAGAGTTTGAGGAGCTGGGTATGCTCCGTTGATAGGTAATATAAATGATGCCCTCAGGTTGAACACTGACATATCTTCGTTTCCACTTTTTAACAAAATTATTGATAACGGAGGGTGGTTGATAGGTAAGGTGATTGGAAAAGGCACGGATAACTTAGAGTGGTGATACGTAAATCAACTTCATCTGACTAATCATGGAATGGCAAATCTTTTTCTTATTGTTTAATAAGATTCTGGCTACTGTTCTCTTTTTAACTTTTGAATTAGCTCTCTCTCGGTCTATGGGACATTTCTTCAGGTTGAGTAGAATATAAACTAATGAATTTGAAATTATTTTCACTGATACTACTGATATTTATTGAGATTACATTAGGTAAAACAATAAGCAGAGAGAGAGATAGAAAAACGTCGAGAATGAACGCACTCAGTCTGGGCTTACCATCTGGTGATACCCAAGAAAGTGATTGCTTTCTCGTGAAGTGGCACCAGTTTCACCGGTTTTTTAAACGGTGTATCAGTGGTTTCCTCTGGCCGCATTCACACGCACGCGGAGACAGATATCGAGGGAAACGGAAGAGGAAGAAGAGAGAGAAAAGAACAGCATACAGATGGTGAGATCATTTGGAGGGAATTTGAGTGAACGTTTCACCGAGTCAGTATCAGAGATGTTCAAATGAAATAACTTTGCGAAAGCTAAACTGCGCTGAAAACAACAACGAAAGACCAGTGAAATCGAGCGGGATCCTGATCTGTGAAAAGATGGATGTTGAATGTGATTGGATGTTCAATGCGGCTTTACTGAATGCTTCTCGACAGTTATTGTCACTCTGGAATGTAAAGGCTGTCGTTTGTTGCTCATTTCTTCAAGATCATACATCTCAAACGCCCAATGTTTCGAATAACAGTTTTATACTGTGAAACTGAAGCTGCATTCAACTGACTGCAAGCGCTTATATCATGACTGACTGAGTGACTGATACTACTAGCTAACTGCTACAACACAAGTAGGCACGCACACAAGCATGTCATGGTGGTGTCATCTGCACCAATGTCAATTCGCATCATACAATCAGACTTCAGAAGTGAGGTGACCGCACTGAATGATCTGTTATCTGCTTCAACACACCGCGATTATGTGTGATATCTACGCTTGCCACTTTTTAATTCATCCACCTTCTTGCTTGGCGTCGTAACTACTCGCATCCTGATTGAGATGATTATACACACTAATAAAAAAGGAGTCGCTGAGACTCTCCTCCACCCCCCACCCAAAAAAAAAACTACTCATGCAATAACCACTACAACGTTCTGAATGACTGTTGTGATATCAAAGGGGTACGTCACCGATTCGAGCCAGAATTTATTTTCTTTGTAGTTTGGTAGTCAGAATACGTTCTGTTTTTCATATCAGTGGAAAGTTTTAGAAAATGAATGGTTATTACACTTGGAATGCAAACTGATCGCACAAAATTCACCACTGACCGATGCAATCGTGTTTTTTTCTTTGTTCTAATCATAGTAAGAAGAAAAATACGGTACACCCAGGAGAAATCTGTGAATTACTTTATTTAGATCGGATCTGTATAACTGTCTTTTGTAAAGAGAAATAGTAAACTTTTTCGCCAATTAGTAGACAACAATGTCTACATTTGAATCTTCCAAAAAGTGTGTGTGGTGAGCAATGTCCAGCTGGTTGGACCGTGCAAACAGTCAGTACTTGAGAAGGGGATAAAGGATAGCCTCTGACTACCGGTGACAGTGCTACCGGGTCTCTCATTTGTGGTCCTCGTGGTCAATATAATCAAGAGCTCAAGGTATTCGATAGTAAACAGTGATTGTGCACAGAGTTCACTCTAATACAGATGCATACTTTTCATTTTCTACGGTACTGTCTTAGTAACATGTTGGTCCTTCATTAACTCCAGATAGTTCAGCAGTGTCTGGATCTGTTGATGGATGGCCAAAGGACTACAACCCCAACCGCAGCATGAAAAACTCTGACCACTGATTATACAAAGTGAAACAGAATTGTCTACAGTATACTCAGCTGGACATAGTGTTTAATGTTTGTAACTGGGGAGGCTGATTTTGATTTAAGAGGGTCCTCTTGGCTGGGAATTTTGTTTTACAGAAGTTTCTTAGCCATCTCAGGTAACATTATAATCAATCTTTCTTGAAGTCGCACTGATAATGTTTCCAAGGATAAAATACGAAACGTGCAGAAACAATGCGTTCACTTACAAAACTAACAATCTTCTTCATCGATCAACGGCAATATTTTCTAGACGCACAACATACGGAATGTGAATTTTGTCCTAGAATCCCTTATCCTTTGGATGTTTGACACTGTTAAACTAGTTAGAGATAAAGGCTGATATACCCAGTTACGATTTCATTTCGACAATGAGTTTATTTATTCAGCAAAAACTACTATTTTGTGCCCTTGATTGGAATACTATCCCCTTCCCGATTTCAAAGCTTTAATTTTCCTGATTCTATTTCAATCTGTTCGCGTAGCATTATTGCTGGTGGACGAGGTAGAGTGTATGTCTGCCATTGATATTGGTATTCAAACTCATCATGAGCAATACTTAAACCTTCTATATATGGATATGATCTATTCTAGTCCATGATTTGAGAGCAAAAGATGCTCAGTTTGCTATTTTACTGTTTTTCTTTTTATCTCCTTTTACGTAACATATATATCATGACACAAATTATATTCAGGAATAAGTAGGTAGTCAATCAAATGGCTGATATACAGTGCTTAAAAATGGGTTTAATGGTGGTGGTGGTGGCGGGATTCGAACACTCATCTTTCGAGACGACAATTTGACAACCTTCACCACTTGACCGTTTGGTTTTCTTATGTTTAGACTATCTTGATATTCTTTCTCTGTATTACTGTCAGTAAAGGATGGTAATGAACGAATAAGGAAGTACACTTCTTTGCAGCGTCATGCACTGCGAGTTTCCTATTTTACAGCTAATTGAGGATGTGAAAGCGCTTTCCATAAAGTAGTACAATTTGGTCATTATTGGGCTTCTGTCCAAGCACTACTGAATTGGCAAAAGGTGCTGAATGCGGTAAGTTAGTCCTCAAAAATAATCACTATATTTTGCTCATCTATCAATTACTCCGATAAAAAAAATTATTAAATTTGCCTTTTGTTTGTTAAGCAGTTTCATACATCCACACCCCAGTGAGCTTACGACAATCGTTGTGAAANCTTTTCATACCAGCTGTATCCGTTTCCCATACCACCACGAGACCTTGCGATGTAGCTGAGAGTGCGGTGTTCGTTTGTGGCAAAAAGTGAGTACCCGAGAAACTTCCCACTTTTTTGTCAAACATTCCATCGGTGAGAGGAGGTGCGTATGCCTCGATCTCTCCAGTTTTTTTCTATCCTCAAAAAAATTTAGTTGAATATTGTGTATAGAAAATCATCAACATCACTTTTCACCTACCCAGTAGTAAAATATCACTTGGCGGTGACTGTTTGTTGTCACGTGACTGTAGTCACCGGGTTTGAAACTGATTAAACGCTGTCCTGAATGTTCGGGACTGAGATGGACCAAACACAACGGTTTATCGCTGCCGGTTGTCCAATTCCAAATGGCAAATTGTTGATTTACTTCTTCAGCACTCAGTGTGGCCAAATAACGCGCGTCCTCGGTCAGTGCCACGGAAACAACCCCGTTCTTGTGTGGATTGAGCATAGTGCGCACCGGATCTCCGGTTTTCCCATCCCAAATAATGACCGCATTGTCCGGTCCGCTATCCCCGGACACGAGCCAACGTTTGTCATCACTGCAATTCAGACAAGTCACCTCGTTCACCTAAAAATTATGAGGCGAGAAAACGGACGAGATATGCTTATGGATATCGCTAGTTCTCTGTACGCTCGTGGAGTCAACGAGATAAATAACTTTCAGGAAATAAATATAGTCTACTGATAAATAGTAATAAATTTATGAATTAAAAGATCTGTTGCCAGCATATGAAAAGTTTCATAGTCCTTGGAGCTGCTCATCCGATACTCCTTGAACAATTCATCACTTTGTGTGTACTTACAATGTGATTTTCTCCGCACTGTCCTTATTTGAATCCCAGACAGTTATTGAGCGAATCAGTATATCCGGCTCGAAGTCCAACGAAGATCACATTTCTACGCCTTCATTCTCATTTTGCCGAGTTGACATATACCAGCGAAGTTTGTAAAAATGGCAGGCAAAGGTCAACCATGGTGAGCTTTTGGAGATAAAAATCAAATAGACTCTCACTTCTAGCACTTATATCATCGTTTACTGTCGCGCATAATGTTTATCTAGCACTTTCTCGCAACGGGTTTTGTTGCTATCTTTCTGCTAGCCCATAAAGCATAAGTAAATGGAAGGAAGGGAAAGCTGAAAGCGGTTTCCAGAGGAAGTTTCGTGAAACAGGTAAACTACGGGTGCACTTGAAGTGAGTAGGCGCTTCGGCGACACTGTTCGCAAAACTTCCCTTGTGTATCAACCGAGTTCTATCGTCATCGGTTAGATTGATCATAGGGTCACTAATCCGGAGGTCTAATGAGACCCGTGTAACCAGGTTCCATTATACCAGCTTATGGTTAAACGACTACTGACCTTCCTCGAACTTTCTACTACCTCGGGCATCATAACACCGAGGGAGCCAGCCCGATGATATAAGTAACAAACCCGAACAGCTACAATCTATGGAGGTTAAACAATTCCTGTAGTATTTCACCGCGACTACCGTTCACCAAGGTCGATATTCATTTTTTGTTTACCCCACTGGATTTCCAAAATACTGCCTAGGTCGCACTTTATGAATACTCCTTGGCTGCCTTTGTCCTTCTTTCTTAATGGTCATGGTTTTCCACCACACCGCGGCATTCGGTGAATTGATACCGCTACAGTAGCAGCATACATTGAACCCTTCATATTTAGCCAGATATCACAACGGCGCCAAAGATGTGTCAAATCGACGAACATTAGCTGAGCCTTCTGTATGCATGCCACACTTTATTCGATAGTCCTATTCCAGAAAAGATGTAACCTTGTGAGTAAGACCAGTGTGCTTGTTCTGGATGAAAACTTTATGGGATAAATTAAACACTTACCCACGTTAAAGCACTATTCTTTGTATATTTCACATGTATACTTGACCTACGAAGGGTTTCAGGTTGACTACCAATGTTCACAAGATACAGGAACTGGAAATCTATACTGAACTTATTTATCGTACTCACTTTATTTCAATTTTAAATGTGACAGAGATCAACGACCAATGCGTTAAAAATTTCGTTTCTTTATTCACGAAAATTATTGCTGACTATTGGCTAAACGACGAGGACCGTGTATTCATATTACAACTGTAAAGAACGACACCAAACCATTAAATCACACCCTTAAAAAGAAGGGTGTTATCGGATCTCGCCAAACGCTCATATTTGTGAAAAAGTATGTTTTTAAGAAATATTACTGCACTTAATTGGACGTGCGTAACAAAAACTCTCAAAATTTAATTTTTTTACGAGACTAAATGCTACTGTCAATACTGTGAACATTATTCCTGTCATCTCTGCACCTGAGGTGACTACCATTTGATCAGTGCTAAAAAATTTCAAAGATGATAGCAAAGTGCTTGTGGATTGTCGGCAGTCTGTTTCTGTCCTATAGGTTGATGATTGGTGTTTGTTTCCATCTCGATCTGTCTTTACACTGAAAAGGTTATTTGTTCGTTCTTTGACATTATTGATGCACCAGGTAACATCTTTTCTGTTACGCTCTTCACTCCCTCAATTGCACCGAGTCGAACACGTGATCCTTACTATGAAGTCCGAAGCATCCTTGATGCCATTCGAATACTTCATATCGTTGACCTTTAGTTTGAGTTCGGTGTAATCATTGTTCGCAAATGCTCTGAAAATACTTCCCCCATTTACGGATGGACGAACACAATTAGAACATTGCCAAACGTCTGCTGGTGGTGGAATATTTGAAAAACGAATTGATCAGTTCATTGAACGGGTGAAGTTGAAATCCCCTATTAAACTGTAAAGGTTACATTGGAGATCTTTTTCCAAATAGGTTCTATCCATACAGTTACAGAACTATGGTCCAACTGTAACGACCATTAAGGCTTCCCATTCAGTTTCAGTGTGAGTCGTGTTCACAACTGAGTGGTAAACCCCCTGTACGTCGACGGTTCCAGCCCCGCGCTAAACTCAGGTTATATTTGACGTTCTTGTGCATCCGGTCGGAGGGGACATCCTGTTGCACACCCCAGCCCAAGCGTATCACACTATGCACTGAACTGAAAATAACTTTTGAGGGACTTGGTACTCAAAAGCCAACTTTTTCACTATTCAGTCGTTTATGGAAACACTAAAACTAATATTTTCTAGCCCAAATGGATGCACAGCCTACTTTGATAGGCACACAGTGTGTACCAAAGACCGATTCCAGAAAAAATACATACAAAACACCGTATTTATCTCCGAGTTAGTTCAATAAAAGAAGTTCTGATCAAAATGAAAAAAGTGGCTTACATGTCCACGTAAAATCCTCTGCTTGTTTGCATCGATATTGTACAGAATCACCAAATGCGATGAGGAGTAGAAGACCACGTTGGTTTCCTTCTTGCTCAGGTTAATAATTGGCACAGTTTGATTAAACCCGAACGCCCAGACCGGCATTAACACTTGATCCTCCGGTGGCTTTGTCCACAACAACTCCTCCTGACGTTTCAATTCAGCTTTAGTGGCCTCATCGATTTCCAACATTTTCTGATGAAACTTATCTGATCACACAGACAGGCAAAAACAAGCAAGTGTTGAGGGAGGATGAATCGGATAGATTATGTTTATTCGGGAGAAAATATGAACAAACCCAAATTCTTGGAAAATGATTCACTGCCGTATAGACCGGTATCTTCACCTTTAAAAACACAACACGTGTTAACTAGCTGACGGGGAGCCCGAACACATACCAGATAAATTCTTGGTGGTACTGGAATTTTCATTATTTTGTGCTGCATCGGGCAACACCTTGTCGGCTTGTTCATCACAAATTGACTGTTCTGTGATCGGAGTAGATGATGCATAATTGACTAGGTGTCTTGCCTGATTGTTCTTCAACCTGATCAGCTTGTGATTCACATTGTTGTTGCATAAAAATGGTTGGAGAAATGTGGTGAATTTGATCGTTCATGGATGCGTTTTAGTGTAATAGCTCCTCGATCTTTCAGGATCACCTGAAAAGAACGAAGTTGTAGAAATCCATCATGGTGGGCAAATGAAATTTTGTTGTACGTTTATAGTGACAAAGTATCCGTTGCGAGATTTAGGTTAGGATAAATCCACAGTAACCTGATGTTTCACTTGGCAGATTTTCAGTTGTCATGCTCTATGCATCGCATCATTTCAGTTTGAGTGTCAGTTGTGTTCACGGTTTACTTATATATATATATATATATATATATATATATATATATATATATATATATATATAT